TTTGTAGCCACTGAATTTTGATATGGTTTGTTATGTAGTGAGAGGTACTTGAAGCAGCCAGGCTTATATAGTGAAAAAATGGAAAATATTCATGTGTCTCAGGTCATTTCAGAATCTCAAAGTTGGGCCACTTACCCTCTTAGAACCCTGACCTTCTGGCCACTGGAGCTCCTGTAAATGTCCCCACTGCTCTGGGAGCAGCACTGATCAGTGACAGGCTCTGTCTCACCCATGCTGCATCCCTGGTACTCTGTCAGGGCCAGTGAACAGTGGTTCTTCCAAAACTGCCAAAGGAATGAGTGAATTCCTCACTGGCTTCTGCTTGCAAACCTCCAGGGAAGGGAGCTCACTCCCTCCAGGGCAGCCTTTTCCATCATGAGAAGTCTCTCCCTGGGAGAAGGTCCTCCTTCATTAAGGGCAGAGATCTATGACTCCTCCCGTGGTCTGGACTCTCTTCCTGGGTCCCCTCATCCATATGACAGCCCTGGGTGCTTTGCAGTGGTCCCTGGCATTTGAAAAGCAACATGATTTCCTTTGATAGCAAGTGTTTTCATGTACATGGAACCCTGGCCACAACTGTAACCTTAAGGGAAGTGTTTCCACCAGGGATTGAAACAAGCATGGACTCTGGGAGCCCATGTTTTGAGGTTTCAGCTGCAACCCCACCTCTGTATGGCCTTGGAAAAGACATTACCTGTCTTTTAGCCTCAGTTTTCTCATCTGGAAAATTGGAGTAGTGAAATTTACCATCTAGGTTTGCTGTGGGGCTTAAAGAAGCGAAATGTAAAATGCTCTGTATGTAATCAGTCCTTGATAAAGGTTAGTTCTTTTTCTGCCAGGTACATAAACAGTTCCAGATGGACAGTGCATTTGTACTTAGCATTCATGTCTATATAAATAATGTGCAGGTGAGGGAGGAATTGTCAGGTGGCCGGGGGTGGGGGAGGGCCTTCTCAGCAGCAGAAACAGCTTAACCAAAGACAAGAGGGAGAAGTCTGGTTTCAAGGAAGCAGAGTATGTGGCAGGGGGCTCCGTGTTGCTGGCATCAAGGGTGACAGGAGGGAAGATGACTGGGAATAGACAGATCTGTGCCTGGAGGGCCCCGAACGCTGAGCTAGAGAGCATAAGCTTTGCCAAGGGGGACATGGAGGAGGTCTGGAGTCAGTTTGCCACTTGTCTGAACTCAGGGTGTAGTCAGATGTGGGATTCAAGTCTGGCCTGATCTGGGGGTGGATCACGAGGGGAGGTGAGAGAGAATTCCTGGGAGCTTGGGGTGGAACCAAGAGTGGTTTAGACCCATTGTAGGGAGGGAGAGCCTAACCACTCAGTGTGAACACACCGGTCATGAGAAGCAGGGCCCTTGACCCTCTGGCCTAGCACCCCGACTCTGCATCTTCAGGGCCAGGCTCTGTTGGGAAGAGCATATTTTCTGCCTTTTCTGTCTTGGAACAGGCTGTGAAGGAGGCCAGGGGACGAGACCTGAGCCAGATCTGCAGCCAAAGGGATGCAGGGAAGACCAGAGCGAGGACTAACCTTATCTGTTTATCTGGGGGTGACTCAGAGAAGTCCCTTTCAAGGCCTGCTTGCTCATGTTATGAACCACCTTTAACCTCTGAGATGGGCTTACAGTTTTCTAAGCCCTGCAGCAGTTTTGGGCTCCTTTGAGACTTGCAGCTGCCTTGGGAGTGGAGGGAAGAAGGCTGGGCAGAGATGATTAGCCCTATTTTAAGGTGGGGAAACCTAGGCCCAGAGAGGGGAAGTCACTTGCCAAAAACCACACAGCAAATGTATGGCAGAACTGGGCTGGAGCCCAAACCTCCTACCTCCCATTGCATCGTAGCCTCTTCCCACAGTGCTGAGGGACCAGCTGGGCAAGACGTTCTCAGTTACCTACACTGGGTGAAGAGTGAGGGGAGCCAGAGAGAGGTTGACAGCCGTCAGCGGACAACACTTAACCCAAACTGACAATTTAATTGTGAAAATGTGGACAAGGTACAGTTACGTGTAAGGAAATCCAGACGGTCTGGGTCCCTGGGGAGCCTCGGCCAGCACCCCAGTTGCTGGGGAAACGAAGAGGGCTGGGGATGATGTCACTAGATTTGAGGCTGAGGCATGGGGGATGGGCTACCCAGCCACCTCTCTGGGACTAGATGAGGCTGTGGGCCTGGCCACAGGCTGTCGTCAACATGGTTAACTCCTTCCTTTACAGATGGGGCAAAAAGGAGCTCTGGAGCGGGGTGGTGACTTGCCCACGGTGACCCAGGGAGTCAGTGGCCAGGTCCATTCATCCAGCAGGCTGCAGGAGTGTTGAGCACAGAGCGCTGTCAGAGTCATCTGTGAGTCCCCATGTTCCACACAGGGCTTTGCACAGAGCAGAACTCAACTCTGCAGCCAGGGCTACTTGATCCCTTCGTACAATTGAGGGGTGTAGGCCCCTTCTGGAGGTGACATGTCTTGAGTTCATAGTAGCCTTAGATGCAGAGGAATCCTGAGCAGTCACCCAGAGCAGGGCTGTCTGGTTCAGGGGACACTGAGCTGAGAAAGGAGGGATCAACAGGCCAAGGTCACCAGCAGGTTGAGGCAGCGCTGGGCTGATCCTGAGTTATACCCCACAGGGCAATCCTTACCCAAGAAGGAGTGGTCCCTCTCAAGCCATCCCCCCAGCTCTGGGCTGGGGATCTGGACCTTGGGAAGCCCCTATTGTCTGAAGCATTTGCTCAGAATCCCCAGCTTCTGACTGGAGGCTAAACATCAACCCACAGAGAGCATCAGTAACAATGGTAACAACTGCCCTTAGCTCAGCCCCTACTGTGTGCCAGGCCCAGCGAGATCGCTCTGGGCTCCTTACTCAAATATTTACAATTCTCTGAGCTGAGAATTACTGTTCTCACTTTGTAGTTCAGAAAGCAGGCTGGGGGCTGGGGGTGGGAGAAGAGTCACTTGCCCACTGCACGCAGACAGAAAGTAAAAAGCTGGGCCTTGGACCCCAGGTCACTCTGTATCTAAAAACCATGACTTCCTTCTTCCCTGGCTCTTAGGTCCTCCCCCAGTGGCGCCTAGGGAAGGAAGGAGGTAGATGAGGTTTTGCCTGCTCAGCCTCCCTCTCGCTTCCATCCCCAACTTTCTGGGGTTCTGGTAGGGCAGCAGGTCGCCGCGCCCAGTACTCTGTTAGAAGGCCTGACCTTTTGGAGACCATCGACCAGTCCACATAATATGACCCAACTGGACCAAATAGAGCTGTTTCCCTCAGCTTGCATTACTGGGTTCTGGGAGAAAGCAGTTAGCTCCCCTTTGGAATGCAAGCTCTAAAGGTGTGATCCCCAGAGCTGCAAGCAGCCAGCAGCTGTCTTCCTTGCCCTATGAAGCAGACAAGGAAAAGGCAAGAGGAAGAGAAGAAACAGGCAGGGAGAGTGAAGGTCATTTGGGTCCCCAGCACACCCACGTCCCTCTCAGTTATGTGAGCCAGTGAATCCACATTTCTTAGGCTCACTGGAGTCAGGTCTCTTGCAACTGGAGTCACCCTGACTATTACCTCTGCAATGTACCCCAGAGTCCTGTGCTGCTTTTATAGGAGGTACAAGATGAACAAAGTTTCCTGTCCTCTAGGAACTAACAATCTGAGCAGGGAAGAGCGGAGGCACATATAGCTCTGGGTCCTATCCCTACTCTGTCTCAAACTTGCTGTGTAATCCTTCCCCTAGCTGGGCTATAATTTCTCATCTTTAACACGGGGTGCGGGTAGATGTTGGGTTCGGTGTTCTGCAAGCTGCCCTACAGATCTACACAATGACTTTTTTTAAGAAAAAAATTTGAGATATAATTCACATACCATATATTTACTATTTTAAAGTGTGCAGTTTGGTGGGTTTTAGTATATCCACAAATCTGTGCAACCATCACCACTTTCTAACTTTAGAGCATTTCCATCACCCCAAAAAGAAATCCCATACCTATCAATCCCCAGTCCACCCACCACCTCATCCCCTAGCAACTGCAAATATCCTATGGATTTTCCTATTCTGGGTGTTTCAAGTTCATCTTCAAGTTCATCCATGTTGTAGTACTTCATTTCTTCTTATAACTGGATAATATTCCATTATATGGATATAGCACATTCTGTTTCTCCATTGATCGGCTGATGCACATTTGGGTTTTTCCACGTTGACTATTATCAGCAATGCTGCTGTGAATATTCATGTAAACGCTTTGTATGAAATATAGGCTTTCAATTTGTGTGTGGAGGGGAGAGAAGAACTGCTGGATTATATGGTAACTCTCTATGATTTTGATGAATTGCCAAACTGTTTTCCACAGTGGCTTCATCATTTTACAGTTCTACCAGCAATGTGTAAAGATTCCAATTTCTCCACATCCTTGCCAACACTTGTTATTTTCTTTTTAATTTTTGGCCATCCTAGTGGGTGAGAAGTGGTATCTCACTGTGGTTGTGATTTGAATTTCCCCAGTGACTAATGATATTGAGCATATTTTCATGTGTTCATTGGCCGTTTGTATATTTGCTTTGGAGAAATGTTTATTCAAATATTTTTCCCTTTTAAAAAAATGCATTGTCTTTTTTTATTGTTGAATTATAAAAGTTCTTTTGTTGTTGTTGTTGAGTTATAAGAGTTCTTTATATACAGTGAATACTAGGATACTACAGCCTTAACAGATATAGCTGTTTGCAAATATTTCCTCTCATTTTGTGTGTTGCCTTTTCACTTTCTCAATAGTGTCTTTTGAAGTACAGAGTTTTTCATTTTTACGATATAGAATTTCTCTATTTTTTTCCATTGGCTACTTATGTTTTTGATGTCATATCTGACAAATGATTATCTTATCTGAGACCATAGAGATTTACACCTGTGTGTTCTTCTAAGAGTTTTCTAGTTTTAGCTCCTACATTTAGGTCTTTGATCCATTTTGAGTTCATATTTGTAAATGGCATGAGGTAGGGGTGCAACTTCATTCTTTTGCATGTGGCTGGCTAGTTGTCCCAGCATCATTTATTAAAAAGACTATTCTTTTTCCATTGAATTGTCTTGGCTGTTTTGTCAAAACTCAGTTGACCACAAATGTATGGGTTTATTACACAATTGTCTTTTAAGTGACATCTAGGAAGTAAGTTACAGAAGGAGCCACATAGTCACCAGTATGTGACAGAGAGAGGAGAACAAGTGTGAAGTCTGGAGTCCCTCAGACCTGTGTTTCAATTCCAGATCCACTGGCACCCTAGGCAAACTATTTTATTTGCCTTTTAATAAATAGGACAATATATTACACTGAACACATTCTTGTTACAAAAAATACCAGCATCTGGATATTCCTGAGCCTCAGTTTCCTGCTCTATCATGTTTTAGCCCCAGGGGATGCTGGAAAGCGCAGGGTGTGATGTGGTGGGGGGGACAGTCAGAAATCTGCAGGCCTGAGGGTGTGTGAAAGGCTGACTTTTGTCCATCAGTTGATGAAAACACAAGAGTCTGGTGTCTGCATCACAGCATAACTCAGAGGACACCTCCCATGTCCCCCTTCCCAGGAGTCTTATGGCATCCAGGCACGTCCTCCTGCCCCAGGCTAGCATAGAGCAGGCCGCACGTGTCATAAGGCTCTTGGCTCCACTCCAGTCTCAGTTTGGTGGGGCCGCGCCGGGAGAGCAAGGTGGTTGGGGTCCTGTGGGAAGGCTTCGGTTTCTCACTTTGTGGGTAAGTGAGCAAAGCATGCAGAAGGTCAGGGGGAAGAAAGTGCAAGAGGAAGGTAGGAGGAAACTGCCATTTGCTGAGCACCTTCAACTTCCAGGAAGGACTCTGAACTTCATCCCAGCTCACAACTACCCAGGGACGCAGGACTGAGGCAGATCACATCCATTTCACAGAACCCAAAACTGGCTCAGAGGAGAAGGATGTGTTTGCTCAAGGTCACGCGGCCAGCAGGTGACAGAGCAAGGATGGAACCCCATTCCATCTGTCCTGAAACGCAGACTTTTCTTGGTGCCAAGCTACCCTGGAGGAAAAAAGAGAAAAAACAGAAGGCGGATGAAAGAGGGAGAGGCCCCGCAGACAGAGTCACACAGAGAGGAAAATAAAGAGAGGCAAAAATTAAAAACAAGAGTGCAAGAGTGGAAAGAGCAAGAGGCTGTGGCCGAGGCCTGGAGCTGGTCCTCGGGGAGCAGCCGAGGGCGGGACGGCCGGAAACCGGCTCACCGAACCTGGAGCCAAGAACCAGGGTTGGCCTGAGACCTGGTGGCAAAGCTCTCACTCGAGATACTGAAGCCGGGGAGGCTGGCGTGGGGGCAGCAGGGTCTGCCTGGGAGGAGGGCGGCGTGGCCGGATGGCCAGCAGCTGCCAAGCCGGGCCCCTCACACATCATCCAGCTGAAACAACCGCGGTGGCCGCGCCGGCTGGCAGCGCCTCGCTCCCGACGTGCGGAGCAGCAGGCTTGGAGGAGCACGACCAGACCTTCCCGGAGCACGGGTTGTTCTTAGGACAAACTCCTTCGTGTGACCTGTAAGTCGGGTGGCTGTACAGTTTATTGTCCGAACTGAGACACTCCAGAGTGAGGGGGACGACAGGCATAAACGGGTATGTGTGGCCTCCGGGCCTCTAAGGCCCTGCCCGGTTGGGCCTGGCCTGTTCCTGCTGCAGCTGCGCCCCAACCCCGCCCGCCCCCTGCCCCTGGCTGTCTGCGCTTCCTTCACTCGCCTTCCTCTGCAGACACTTAGGGCCTTGGAATTGTCTGGAACACCCTTCCCCACGCCACCCCCATCTCCACACCCCTTCATTGTTCCTACTCGCCCTTAGAACCCAGCTCCAGCCATGCCAGTGCCCTTGGTCAGCCGTTCAATACATCATGTGTTTTCCTTCCACGGTTCCGATCACAATCACAATAATCAAAGAAATTCTTAATTGTGTGTTTGATCATTTTAACGTCTGTCTCCCTTCCTAAGGGCAGGGCTGGGTCTGACTTGCCCACTATTGCATCCTGAACACCCAGCCAAAGGCTCTGGTGCATTAATGAATAAATCAACTCTCAGGGCCCCTTGTACGGACACAGAGTTGTGTGTCTCCCTTGTGTTTTGGGGTTCTTTTCCATACAAGGAAAGGAAAGGAAGGAGCTAGTTCTAAAGAAAAGAACTTCTTGGGTCCAATGTGCACTTCTGATTTCCTTCACAGGCTCTGAGCTCCTGCTGGGAGATGCATCCGCTTCTCACCTCTTCCCCCGTCTCTAGCCTAGTGTTGGGCCTGGGTGAGGGGCTCAAGTTGGATGTACTGATGAGTGATGGCAACATGAACATCGATGCGGTGGATCACAGAAAGTCTGAACTGGGAGGAACCCTAGAGATCATGAGATAACAGGCAAATGCTGAGTCCAGGCCCCATAGGTACAAATAATGTTAGTGTTTCATCCTGTTGTCTTGTCCAACCAACCATATGTTTTTTCTATTTTTAAATGTGCCACTCAGTAGATTTTAGTATATTTACAAAGTTGTGCAACCATCACCACTATCTAACTCCACAGCATTTCATCACCCCAGAAAGAAACCCCGTACTCAACAGCACCCCTGCCTCCCTTTCCCTTCCCCTCAGCCCTTGACAACCAGCATCCACCTTTTTTTTAATGACTGGGAAATTAAGGCCAGTGCCTTGTCTAATGTCACCTTGTCAGCCAGCAGCAGAGCCAGAATGAGAGCCCAGGCCTCCTGACACCCAGTCTGTTGCAGGCCTGAGCTTTCTCTGGGGCCCTCAGGCATTCTCTGGTGCCTAACATGAAAGAGCTGCTTAACAATGGCCCATTAAGGTGAGGCTAACAGGAAGATGAGACTGGACCATCTGCAGTTATGCCCTGGACCGTTCAGAGCCTGCCTGTGCCCAGAATGGAGCTGGGCACTTTTGAGGGGCAGAAGACACACCTAGAAATCATTTCTAGCCGGTACCCTGCTTCCTACAATAGCCGGTGTCCTTTCACAGCTGGGAATGCCCTTTCCCTAAATGATCACATGGCCTCCCCTCTCTTCCTTCAGCCCTCCCCAAAGGCCCCCTTCTCACAGCGGCCTGCCCTGACCTCCTTATTTCTAAGTGTGAACAGGCCCGCCCCTCCCTGCTGGTATGCTGGCCTCCTTCCAGGGGGACTTGCTCTCCGTGACACTTTCTGTCATCCATCAGACACACTATATCCTTCAGTGCTTTATCTGGTTTCTGTCGGTCTTCCCTACTAGAACGTCAGCTCCTCAAGGGCAGGGAGCTTTGTCTGCTTTGTTCACTGCTATACCTCAGCTTCTAGAACAGTGCCTGTTACACAGAAGCTGTTTTGCACGTATTGGTTGAGTGAATGCATTACTCAATGAACGGTCAGCTAGTACTGCATCTTATTCTTATCAGCAATAGTCAGGGGAGGGGTTATTATGCCTGTTTCATCCATGTGTCTTAGTCTAGTCAGGGTGCTCTAATAAAATGCCATAGATTGGGTGGCTTAAACCACAGACAGTTATTTCTCACAGAGCTGCAGGCTGGGAAGTCCAAGATCAAGGTGCTGGCCAGTGAGTGCTTGGTAAGAGCCCTCTTCCCGGCTTGCGGATGGTGACCATCTCACTGTGGGTTCACACGTTCTCTGTGTGCTCCCAGAGAAAGACAGAGAAACAGAGATCTCTGGTTTCTCTTCCTTTTTCTATAAAGCCACTAATCCCACTGTGGGGCTCCACTCTCATGTCCTCCTCCAAACCTAATTACCTCTCAAAGGCCCCATCCCCAAATACCATCACACTTGGGGGTAGGTCTTCAGCATATGAATTCGGGGGCAGGGGTGGGGGGCACAAATATCCAGTCCATAACAGATGGCAAGCTGAGGTCCTGAGAGGTCTCCTGGGAACCAGAGGCAGGCTGTTATCGCTCCCCCACACCCGACGCCGGTCCTGTCAGGGGAGCCTGGAGTGGGGTCAAGGTGGGCATGAGGAAACAGGGGCCAGACTTCCTGGGTCTCCCATTGTTTTTAGGACCCCAGAAAGCTGAGTCAGCCCATGAACCCAGCCTCTACATCTTCCTGTGCTAATTTAGCCACTTTCACATTCCATGCCTTCGCCAGAATGGAAAAAGAAAGAAAGGAAAAAAGGCAGCACTGTATTTTAAAATGGCCTCTATGAGTTCCAACAAGGGAAACTGCTGGCCATGCTGTCATGGGCCCCAAGGCCCTCTGGGCATCGTTACTGAGACTTCCTGTGGTGGGCTGGGCCCCGGATCCACACATTCTTCTGCCAGAGTGATGTGAGCCTGTGGGCAGGCAGTGGCTCTATCTACAAGCCTGGGCCAGACCCCCTGAGCCAGCATGGAACCAGGAAGGAGCCAGGCACCGGGCAGGCTGAGGACACCCTCTCGTAACAGCCCAGTACAGCTCCTTGCTCTGTGTTGTCCAGAGGTCTTTAAGGTCCACCTCTCATGGGATCTACGGCCACCCTGAGACACGAGAGGGTCAGCACCTGCGCTGTGTCTTTCCACAGGGGCGTAGAGGACCGCGTGGTGTGGTGTCCTGCTGATGGTCACACTGCTGGGGAGGGATGGTCTGGATCATCACCAGGGAAGCTTGAACCCTGCCCTCTGATCCCAAATGCTATGGCCCATCCAAGAGGAGAGGGCACAGTCCTTGCCCAAGAGAAGCTGACAGATCAGCCGTGGGGAAACCACGTGTTCAAGTCCAAGTCCACATTTTACAGCAGAAGAAACAGAGGCCAGGGACTGGCCCAAGGTCACAGAGTCAATCCACAGTCTAGGCAGGACTGGATGCAGGCTCTGGACTCCTGGCTGGGACTGTTTCTGACTATATCTGCACTTAAACAGTTCCGTTTGGGCGGAAGCTCTGCTGTTCTGGAAGAGACGCCAGGCCTTTCCAGAATCCGGTCTAAGGCTGTCTTCCAGGATCTGCTGTCAAGGCTTAGTCCTCAGGGAACAGCTGCTGGCAAACGGAGGTGAGGTATTGATTATGGCTGGGGCCGGGGGAGTGTGGCTGAAGCCCGGGGGGAGAGAAGGGCTGGGGAAGGATGGTAGGTTCTCTGAGAAACAAACTGAAGGTATCTTCATATTTGCTTTTGCTTATCTGTATTTTCTAACTTTTCTGCACTCCCAGAATTCATTTTTCATATTTGAAAGTGATGCACAATTTAATTAGGAATGGTCTGGGAAACCAGGGTCCTCTCAGTCCCGACCGGCTGAGTGAACTTGGGTGGGCCCCTACCTCTCTCTGGACCTTTCTTGGAAATGCCCATAATTAGAGTGCCCCGTGGGAAGTGAATGGATCAAAAGGTTCCCAGGCTCAGGACATAGCTCTCTGGCCTGGTCATCAGAGGTGTTCACCCGTCTAAGGAAAGAGCGCAGCAACCCAGAGGTGAGGCATCCAGAGAAAGGCCAAGGTTCGGAGCAGCCCACTTCGGCCGTGTGCCCGTCTAGCACGGTCCAGAAGAGAGGAGTTGTCTGAGGGCCGTGCCCACCCCAGTCCCCGCAGAGGGCCTCTCTGCTCAGGGTGGAGACACTTTGCCAGGCTTCCCTGAGGTTTGAGTGAACAGCCCTCTGAATCAGCCCTCCCTGCCCTCTGCCTGGATTCCAGGCCCACTAGGCAACAGGACCCCGGACACCTGGCTCCCAGGAGGGAAGGAGACTGGGGAGGGGGCAAGAGCGCTCCTGTCAGTAGAAAGGGAGACGTGCCTGGTATCGGCTATAGTAGTGTTGGGAGGAGGCAATGATCTGAGTGACATGGTTAGGGCTAGTGGCCTGACCTGTCTGGGTGTCTTGAGAAGGGTCAACATCAGGACGGCCAGAAGAGAGCCAAACTCCAGGCTGGTCAGTCATCTGGGACCTGCCACCCAGTGAAAGGGCTAAATCATTTTAATAAATGTATAGTGTTTAGAACAGGATCTGTCATAAAATAAGGAGTTAATAAAAATTGCTAAGTGAAAGTTAGCTGTTGCCTGTCTGGACTTGGTGGGGAGTGGGCGGAGTGGTGGGTCCATGAAGGGGAGGATGCCTTTCTCCTGGCCACCGGCCCAGCTGGAGCTGTTGTCTCTCCAGCACACCATCTCTGCCACCCATGGGCACTAAGAGGGTACCTGGCTGACTGCTCTGAAATGCGGTATCGCTTTCGGGTCTCTCTGTCCCAGCTCCCCTCTGATGTCCAGGCTGGGGAGGGATCATGGCACTCCATGCCTGAATTACATCCCCACCCACCACCTATCACTCACCTCCCACCAGCAAGGGGCTAAACATTAGAGGCCAGGAATTCTAGGTCAGGCTGGGACCCCACAGTGTCAGGTCTGGAAGGCCCTCATGTATGCCTTGCTTACCCTTCCTCCAATGCACGCATGGGGAAACTGAGGCCCAAAGAGGGAAATGGACCCCCTCGCACCCCCCACCTCCAGCCGCGGAGCCTGAGGCTGGTCTGGAGCTGGGTGTAGGCCCGGTGCTTCTCCCAGCCTCCTCTGCTCTCCGCGGGGCCCCAGAGGCCGCTCCAGAGACAGTGCTCCCCCTCCTGTGGCCAGGCCTCACCTGGTCTTCATTTGCTCCATCCTCTGTGGCTCTGTCCGGGATAATTCTCTCCAAGCAGGGTCATCCCCCTGGGAGCAGGCAGCTAATGAGCTTCAGATGTCCGGGCCAAACTTCCTCACGGAAAGCAAATGCTCAGATGCTCATGCTGATCACAGACACTGGCCAGTGGTGGCAGTGCAGAGAGGACACCTCCTCTTCCCTTTACAGGGCACTTTACTCCCAGCTTGGAAGCAGCAGGTGCCAGTGTTTCACCCCAGAAACCCTAGCCGGGGGGCTATTTCAAAGAGATCTGGAAAAGGGCAGGGAGGTTGGAAGACAAAGGCATTTTTTTATTTGGATGCATATTTCTTCTTCTCTCAAAGTTTCTCTATATCCAGAGCAGGTGTTTCTACTGAGGTAGCAGCAGGCAGGGGGAAGGGAAGGGGACAAGTTGATGGCCAGCTCTGTGCTGGCTCTCAGCTGGCATGAATGTCACCTTCTCCAACCCCTGCAGGAACCCGGCAAGTTCAAGACTGTCATTATCCACTTAACAACTGAGGAAAGGCGATCCAAAGACCAGAGAGATGAGATGACTTGTTCAAGGTCACACAGCCCCCGAAGGGCCAAACTAGGGTTCCAGCCCACCTCTGTCAGAGCCCACACCCTTCCCTACAGCAACCTGGGATGTTTCCAGAAGACCAAGATGGTATATCATAATCTCAAAGCTGCATGAATAGTGAGGGCCTGTGGGCTGCCCTGGGCTTTCAGACACTGAGGCTGCCTTTGCCTCTGACTCATTCCTGGATCTTGACAGGGCAGCAGATTTACAAAATGAGGATCGTCATCTTAACTCAGGTGAGGTAATGCTAACTGCCATCATCACGTCCTCAGCTATGCCTGGAACACATTCTGGGCACCAGATCCTCTGCTGGGGGTTTTCTGTTGGTTGGCTGATAAGAACTTGGATGCTAGAGCTCTGCCACTTTCTAGCTGTATAACCTTGGGCAAGTTACTTTACCTCTCTGTGCCTTCATTTCCTCATCTGAAATGAGGATAGTAATATTTCCTATCTCATAAGATTGTGAAATTCAATTGGTTAATACTTGTAGAGGGCTTAGAAGAATGCCTGGCACAGGATACACGCCCAGAACATGTATTAGCTGATACTGAGCTCAACCTTATGAGATGGGGGTTGTGATGCTCCCCAAAACACAGAGATGGAAACTGAGGTAATGCGGTACAGTGAGTCTCAAATTCAGGTGCATCAGAATTGCCTGGAGAGTTCATTAAAATATAGAGGGCTGGGTCCATGCCCAGAGTCTCTGGCTCTGTAAGTCTGGGCTGGGCCCTGACAACTTGTGTTTCTAGCATGTTCCCAGGCGAGGCTGATGCAGCTGATCTGGTGACCCACTCTGCGAACCAGTGCTCTAGTAGACCTGAGTGTGGCCCCTGTTGTCTCAGGGCCAGCTAGGACCCTCAAGAGCAGAGGCTCAATAAATAATTTGATGTGTAAGTGAGTGATGATTACAGGGAGTGGAAAGGGTGTTGGACCAGGAGCCCTGGGTTGCTGGTCCTGAATTTGCTCCCACCTCTGGGTGGGACTTGACCAAATTCTTTTCTGTTTCAGCCTTGGTTTTCTCCTCCACAAAACAGGGGTACTGATAATCTCCCTTGCCAGGTTCTTTGAGGATGAAACGGGGCCTGGTAGAACTCTGACACCCATGGTGAGAGTGACAAACGTGGTCTTGAAAGGTGACATACTTTGGGCTCTCACTGCGACCCTCACAGCTGTCCCTCTCCTCTCTCAGCTCCGAGGGCTGCAGCTCATCTCCTTCTTTCTCAGACCTGAGCTGGGAAGACTGAGGCCATACTGCCCCCCCCACATCCCATGGCCCTGGGCAGAGGGCAGTGCTCTGGCTGTAGCCACAGGCTGCATAAAAGGGCCTATGTTCCGGACGCTCACCTCCCACTGTGTGCCCAGTGGTTTTCTATTTCAGTTGCTGTAAAAATATCACCTTTGATCTCAGCTTGTGGCTCTGAAAGAAAGAAAG